AGCGTTAGCGAAGTACAAGTTGGTGTTCTTGGGTGACCAGTCCGTAGGCAAGACCAGCATAATCACTCGCTTCATGTACGATAAGTTCGATAATACCTATCAGGTGTGCACCATAACTATCAGATCCAATTCTCTTTCCTAAATCAATTTAAATAAAGTCTGAATATGGCTCCCGAAACCATGACTTCATCTTTCAGTGGTTGATTTAGTTGTTTTTGCTGGATTTCTTACCTTGGCTGGATTGAAATGTTCCTTGCCATTGAATGGAATTTTCTTTTTGTGATATTTATCCCGAAAACTGTCGGTGAAGAAACAAATCAATACATGTTGATTATTCTACATGTCTCAATAAGATTATAAGAAGCGCTAGTGTTAGAATCGAAGAACTCAACTTGCTTACACCCCCAACTGTTTTTATATATTTGAGCATGATTTTGTAACCCAGTAATTTAGGCAGCTTATCAGCCCTTTGTTTCCTGGAGGCTATCTTCCGCTTCGCTTCTCCCAGTGACATTGCTGAATATTCAGCATTTGATAATCGATATTAGTATATCTTACCTATACTTCCATTTCCGGCGATCAAAGAGAACCACTGTCATCCTTTGTACAAAAAAGTCTGGTATGCAGCCGAGTTTATATGATTAATGACATAGGGAGATGGAATTGAAGGTGCCTGACTGTTGGTGAATGTAGTGTGAAGTATCACTTCTCCTGATTGATATGAAGAACTTAGAGATCAGGTCCTTTATTTGAAAGGGTAACTTATGACTTATCGGAAATAACCACAGATCAACTGTGGAAAATCCACATGATTCATCGTTGTGAAAAGTACATATTTTACGTCGCCAGCAATCCAGCATAAAGGAAACCATAGAAATAATTCCCTTCACAAACATTTTAGAGCTTGATAATAGGCCAACATCTTTGGCTACCTCCTTTAGTGAATTTTCGCTGACACTTGGAACTTTTTTTTTTTTAAAGGTAATAACATTTAGAACTTTGGACACATAATACCAGTGCATGGAAGATGAAATTATTTCAACCAACTGGAGTAAGTTTTTTGCTTTAAATAAAAACAGGGTAAGTTTTATACTGATGAGACCAGAACTACAAAGTATAGATTATGACTGCTGGATGGTTAATGTCCGAAAGGAACTTGAAAATCAGACGATAAACAAATAAGAAGACACATAGGTAATATCCGTGATCCATATTCACTAGCCTTTAAATTAAATCATAATATATGCGTAAATTACCTGATGAGCGCATATTTATCTGGGTTATCAAGACCATTTTAACGTTTCTGCTCTCATTGTTCTCAATAGGCATTCAACATCTTGTAATCTATGTATTTTCATTGCGCTTAACTTCATTTATCTATTTATTTATTGCTAAATCACTAAAACTTATTTTGCAATTCTCCAACCAGGCTACAATTGGTATTGATTTTCTATCTAAAACAATGTATCTTGAAGATCGAACTGTCCGACTGCAGTTATGGTAAGATGTTGTGTCATCATCTCCTAGGGTAAAAGGAAAAGGAAAGCTTTGTGGAAGTGGTCTGGCACCATCATATTTCTGTTTTAGCTAAATTTAAACTGAAATAAAGGAAAGGCGTTTTTAACAGATGTAGGTAAACATAGAATTGATTGGTAAATTTGATCTTGGAGTCTGAGAATATGGTGCATATAGATATGCACATATGTTCTATAAAAGTTATAGGTGTTTAGTTCGCAGATCTTTAGTTTCTAAATTACCAATTTTATTGCCCTCTAAAATAATTCTTTTCATGTGTCTGGATAGGGATACTGCTGGACAGGAAAGATTTAGAAGTCTTATTCCAAGCTATATTAGAGACTCATCCGTTGCTGTTATTGTATATGATGTTGCAAGTATGTCCTTTAGGACTTCTTTTCAATTCACCCATTCTCTTGTAACCTTGTTGCTGCCCATTCTATTATAACATTATACACTACATGCAGAATGTTTCCTAAGTGAGCGTGACTAAGGAAATATGACATTCTTAAAAGTCACATTCTCTCACAAATTCAGGTGTCCAATTTCCTGTGTGATCTTTCAGGGTGACTTGAATGATGCATTGGCTTAAATTTTGCTCAGAACCTATGCAAGTTTGTTGCTTATAATGTTGATGCTCTTGTGATTATTATATAGGCCGGCAGACTTTTTTGAACACATCAAAGTGGATTGAAGAGGTGAGAAGTGAAAGAGGCAGCGATGTCATTATTGTTCTCGTAGGGAACAAAACAGATCTGGTTGAAAAGAGGTAATGAGCAGTAAAGAGAATAATATTTTATCAGATAGGTGGCCTCCCCCCCTCCCACTCCTGTCTTAGCTCATTACCTGCTTGATTTATTAAATAATTAATAATCACTCACCGAAAAATTGTTCATCTGGACTATAGTTAGTTCTGTGTGGATTGGGATTAAATTGGCTAAAATTTGAACAAGGCAGCTGTTATAGTTGTACTATTTTGATTGCCCTGAATGGCTTTAAATTTCCTTAAGAAATCAAGGATTTGTAACAAGTACCATGCGCAATATGATCAAATGAAATGTTTCTATGCTGTGTCTGAAGCATGTAAAAATCCCTTATTGATTATTAGACTAAATGAATATTCCGTTGGGATATTCTCTGGGTTAGTATATTTGCTCTGAGTGATAAGACAAAGCCATGTGATTTGTAACCTATGATTTCATGATGCATCTTTTATGTGCGTATGTTTATGTATGCACCTATGGTTTGGTGAAGAGTATCTTTTATGTTTGTGTGAGAGAGAGATACATGCACGGGACCTATGAATCTCTCTCTATTGCAAATATTTTTTTTGCAATCATGATTGCCATGTAATCAGGATTACCTAGATAAAATGCTAACTAAACACACTTTCTCTGGTAATGCAATCAGGATTACCATTGCTAGGAGAGTTTTGAATTTAACAAAAGAGGCCCCTAGTAAGCACAGTAAGCCTGTTTGGTGACTTGTTAAAAACGCAATATATGTTAATCCTACCATGGAAGATTAGTCTTAGAAAAATCTAGTGTCGGTCTTGGTCTAATGAAAAGAAAATCTAGATTTGGCTTTAGCGTCTTGGGTGGGTTTCACCCTAAAATATTTCATGCATAATCTGTCCTTGCTGTGTAATAGGTCTGATGTCCTGATATTAGAAGTCATCTGTTTTACTAACATTCATCTTTACATGAATCTGTAGGCAAGTCTCTATAGAGGAAGGGGAAGCAAAAGCCAATGAGCTGAATGTCATGTTTATTGAGACTAGTGCCAAAGCTGGATTTAATATAAAGGTAAGCTAAGTAGCTAACTGCCTTATTTAGAATTATCTAAATTTCCATAGATTCCCATAAATTCCCTGTTTCCAACTAGAAAGAGATGAACTGTACTAAGTTATTATCATGGTACACTGGTTGTGTGTATGCCACTATGCCCTTATAAGTGACCCTTGTAGAACGAGTGAATTGAATTTTTTCATCATCTTTCTTGGATGGCATGTTGCGAGTGGTCCACAAGAAGAAGGCAGATTACATTATTTGGTGTCGATGCTCAGTGATTGTATATCTCAAACTGTTAGTCATGTTGCTACTAATCTTTTAAAGGCAAAAAATGTTTATTATCCCCTTGCATTTATTAAACCTCTATCCATGCTTCCTGCTGATCATGTTTCCCCCCTCTTTTTGAACCTTATTCAGGCTCTCTTCCGAAAAATAGCTGCTGCATTACCTGGAATGGAGACACTATCATCTACAAAACAAGAAGACATGGTTGATGTCAATTTGAAGTCTTCTAATGCGAGCACTCAATCTCAAACCCCGTCAAGTGGATGTGCTTGTTGAATGTGGTTTGTCTCGTAGAATCTTTTTGCTTCATTGCAAGACTTTTTAGTGGATGCTTGTCTGCACTTGCGGACCTCAATAGCATTACGTGGAAAGGTCGGGATATATAAGCGGTGAGATAGGGGTTGAAAGAACTTCATTTAGAAATTCATTTTGTGGGTGCGATTGCGATGATGTACTAATGTAGAAAAGGTATACAATATAACATAGAATCATGCTTCATATAAAACTTGTTATAAAGATTTTACTGTTCATTTTGTTAGCCACAAAATTTCATCGTTCATTTGGCTATCAAGAGATGGTTGGTATATTTGGAATGTCCAACTACCCCAATTTTCGTGTTTCCCTTTTATTTGTGCCACACACGGAACAGTTCCTCCCGGAATCGAAGAATCGAAAGAAAGCTCAATGGATCAGCATTTACATATAGTCTTGATTGATCTGAAGTGGTGATAATGTGTGATTTGCATTGAGTAAGAAAATAAAGTGTTTTATGCACTGATTTTAGGTAGCATTTTAAAACAGGGCATGATTTTGGCTTCATGAGATGCTTGAAACTAAGCAAATGAAGACAAAAAAGCAAAAAAAAAAAAAAAAAGACATCGTGTTTAAAATAAAAATTCGCACTCCCATCAAATCCTTAGTTGCCATGATTAATATCTATTATAACGCTTTAAAAAATTGAGGGGACTTCAGGGCTCTAGGCTTTCTGAGGTTATCCATAATGTGAACTTATCATCCTCCATCGTGCATTGGTGTCTAACGTCGCAACTCTCCAAGGGCCAGCGTCCCCCCCTTATTCATTTGATTATTTCTTCGTTTGGTGGAATGTTACAATGCTCTTTGAATAAAAATCCTTTTCAGCTGGAGGACTGTGAAGTTCACGCGCCCTCATGTTGAACAACATTGTTGACGAACGTGAAATCACACGTTTTTATAAAAAAAATCTACAGTCAGAAGGATGCGGGGCAACTTACTATATTTACGAGAGATGTCATTAAACTAAACTGCATATTGGGTCCACTGTTATGATATAAGACAAATGTAATTATATATATAAAATAAAAAAGGCACACATATAAAAGTTAAAACAAATCCATGCATACCTTTAAATAACTACGTATGTAATTTTATTCGAGTTATCAGTCTCTTCCTTCGTTGTTGAAAAAAGACTACACCGGCAATCGGAAGAGGCGTTTGGCACAGCGAATTAACCATTTTGCTCTGTCACACTCTGATTTTCTGCACTAGTGATTTCCACCATGGCGCCAGTTTCTGCTCTTGCAAAGTACAAGTTGGTGTTCTTGGGTGATCAGTCGGTGGGCAAGACCAGCATCATCACTCGCTTTATGTATGATAAATTTGATACAACCTACCAGGTATTATTTGTCATTACTCGGATCCAGTTACCCTCGGTAAAAATCAAATCTAATAGCACCATTCGCGCCTGAAATCAGATTCTTTTTTTTTTTTTTCCTGATATAGGAATTAAATGGCCAAGTGTTGGTGTTAATAATCTTAGCCGTTCTAGCAGCTGCATTGCAATCTGAATTTTCTTATACATCACCGCGCTAAGAACATCGACAATCTTTTTGTGCTAGTTTTTCCTCCCTGATATCACGATTATTTCTTTTTCTTAAAAGAAAAAAACAAGTTATTGCATTCTGCATTATTTTGTTTGGGAGCTGGCTCAAGAGATCACGGTTTTCCTGTGGGACAAATTTTATTATAGATCCTGTGAGACCACGGACACGGGCTCTAATTCCAGGTTGTGGGTTCCGGAAATCTCCCCCTAAAATAACGTATATAATCTTTACACAATATATCTAATGTTATTCTCCTTGATAATTAGCATACATATAACGTGTGGTCCATATATACATATGGGTTATTAGATCATTTCCATTTTTGCTTTCTTCCCAAATATGGGTGCACGTTTGTGTGAACTGTACAGTTTTCATTCGACTATAGGTTGTTTAATAAGCATATTAAGCCTGTAAAATCCAGCACTTTACTGCATTCCCTTGTTCAAAATTGAGTTTACATTTTATTTTTTGCTGGTACTGAGATTTTCTTCCCCTTCTCGCAAACAGGCTACAATTGGTATTGATTTCCTATCCAAAACTATGTATCTTGAAGATCGAACTGTTCGGCTGCAGCTGTGGTAAGATGTGGCATCATCATTTTGGGAGTTCTAAATGGAGGCAGAAGGGATGAACTTACAAAGATTATCTCATTCTTTGAATATTTAAATGAACGAGGGCAAGAGGGAGTGCAAAAGTTTTTATAATAGCATGCTAATCTAGCTCATCATCATCAGTGAATATAAAAAGATTTGGCAACACTAAATTTCGAAATGTACAGTTTTTCGTCAAATAAAGTCTGCTTCCTCCTGTGTTATGTAATTAAAGTTTATTGGGTGAGAAAGAGATAAATACCAGGTACTTCTGATTTACTTCCCTCTTCGCAAAACAAACTTCAACACTAAACAAATGTACATGTATCACAAATTGATATTGTCCTTATCCCTATGTGTGTCATATTTCATATTTGATTTCAAAATTTTATGTTATATACCGAGGGTGAATTTGCAGGTTGTGATGTTTCACGTTTGCTAATTCATAAGTTAGTTGGTTTTGGTTTTGGAAAACTGTTAATAGTATCAAGTCCTATCCTTTATTTGTTACCTTTTAATTTCACTATTATGCTCTCATAAACCTGCCATTTTGTATTCCTTTGGATTTAGATTAAGATAAAGAAAACGAGTGTCGAAGTTGGTGGATGCGAATGCCATTATTCATAAGGCATCTTGGATTATGCCAGATAAATATACGCCCATGATGTGGATGTAGATTCCAAGATGCCTCATGAGTATGTTGGCTTTATGCCTTCTTGATGCACATTGGTGAATCAAAGTGAGGTTTAAGGAGCTTAATTTGTTCACTTGACAATTCACGGGTTCTTTGCTCAATGTTGACTCCATCTCGTCATCAGCAAACATTCTTTTTAATTCCCCCAGCCAGTAAGGAACCTTTTAATGTTTTTTCATGCACGTGCCAATGTGGTAACAGGGATACAGCTGGACAGGAGAGATTTAGAAGTCTTATTCCAAGCTACATCAGGGATTCATCTGTGGCTGTTATTGCTTATGATGTTTCAAGTATGCCGCTTAGGATATGTTTCTCTCTTATCTATGCCTTGCTTTTAGTAGTTGATACTTTTCACAAAGTTGCTTATTATTTTTCATCTAAGAAAAGTTGCTTATTATTTTAAAAAAAAACTGGTTAGCTTCCTACTCTGGGAAGTAGAATTTCCTCCCCCCTCCTTACCCAGTTCTATCCTCTTACTCTGAGTAAACACTGAAGACCGCATTAAATCTAGCAAATACCTCAGCTCTTAAAGCACTTTTCTTTGGAAGGTACACGTGTTCAGCAAAATGTCAATGAGAAATCAGAACTTGTCTCCGCCTTTTTTGTGGTTCAGAACCAGCACTTGTCTAGAATTTGCCTTCTCTCACACCTGCTGCCTATGATATTTAGTCACATTTTTGGATCTGTCTTGATGACCTGAACGATGCGTGCATAAATTTTTCTTTTGGGTATTTTGCAGTACATTTTGAAGGATTCTTTCTTACGCTTATTTATTTTTCTTATGTAGGCCGGCAAACTTTTCTAAACACATCAAATTGGATTGAAGAGGTGCGAAGTGAGAGAGGTAGTGATGTAATTATTGTTCTTGTGGGGAACAAAACTGACCTTGTGGATAAGAGGTAATGACTAATGAACAGAATCACGACTTTATCTGACCTTAGTCTTGGTTCCTTTAATTTTCTTTGTTAGATCACCTATGGATTAATTACTAATCCAGCACATGAAGTTTGTGAGAATTTTCTCAAGAAATTGTTGGGCTGAATGCCAAGAGGAATGACATGATAAGTAAATCGTCATTTGATTTCTTCGTTTACTCGAGATTTTGTGGTGCAGTATCGGGGGATATTAATTATGGATATTTGAACCTCTATGGTGTACTTTAAGGTTTACGTCTCTGGTTTGCGAATTGGGATGTATTATCCTAGTAGTATAAGTAATTTATTTTTATTCTGAATTAGGCTTTATTAAGTTTAGGTTGCTTGTCTGACCTGAATTTGTAGTTACCTATATTAGGTTCATTATGTAGCGTATGCTTCACTTCTTATCATTGAATTTGAAGAATGTGGATTGCATGCAAGAATTCTGCCTTGATTCTCTTTTTTGTTTGACACTACCGCATTATGCGTGAGAACTCTAGGAGATGAATAACAATATTTGCAATAGACTGCGTTTTGATTGGAGAATGCATTGAACAAGTGACAGAGAAAAATTAGCATGTCAAGACGTCTTGGACTTCAATTGGCTAACATGTAAACTGGCTGGGGCAGTGAACATGTCACTGCTTCAAGCATGGAAATGGCTTTAAAATTTTCTTGAGAAATCAATGATTATCCACAGATGCAATGTTCTTCAAGACATAAAGATCTTGTTTTCATACAATATATTAGACGAATACATCCCTTATGGATTTAGATCCTCTCCATACTTTCTCTCAATACATCTCTCCATATCCAATCTTAACCATTTATTTAATTATATTTTGATTTAATGGTGCAAAATTGCTAATTATAGCATGAAAATAAATATAATATTCATTTAATGGTTATCATTGATAAGCATTGTGGTTTTATTTTCAAAAGCATTTAAGTGATAACAATGAATAATTTATTTATTTTAATGCCATAATTAGCAATCTCACATCATTAAACCAAAACAACAGTTAAATAAATGGTTGAAATTGAATATGGAGAGATGTACTGAGAGAGAGTATAGAGAGGATCAAAATCCCATCACTTACTATTTACAATGCATAAATTAGTTCCAATTGACTTTGGAAAGTTTTGTGCGTAAATTTATCCTCCCTCGTTTTGATGTCCTATATGCACTTGTTTTGATTCAATTCCTATTAGCAAATCATTGCTACATCCTTTTTCCCCCTCCATGAACCATTTCTATGAATGAACCTGCAGGCAAGTCTCTACGGAGGAAGGGGAAGCAAAAGCCCGTGAGCTGAATGTCATGTTTATTGAAGCTAGCGCCAAAGCTGGCTTTAATATAAAGGTACTAACCCCCTTCTTTTTGCTATATTTTACATGCATACAATACACACACACACACGTATATTCTGGGATAGCATCTTCTTTTGCTGTAATTCTTCCGTAAATTGCTTGTCTACCACCTTAAATGGACCATAATGAAGTTGGGTCATTGTCGAGATTAAATATTGGAAGAAAAGGTGAATAAATCTTATATCATCAGCCATTTTGCATCGAGATGGTGCAGATGGTTAAAGAGTAGGACAGATCACATCCTTACAGAGATCTGCTTACTGCTGCTGTGATGTTAATCCCCCCTTACCAGATCGCCGTCATTTGCTTGCAGTTGTCTCAGTTTCTGGAATCTCATGCAGCTTTCATTTTCATGCTTGTATCTTTTATTATTATCATTTTTTTTTTTTTACACTTTTGAGCCAATCAGTTTCATACTTCTGTCTGATATTGCATTTCTTTACCAAACCTGCATCCAGGCCCTCTTTCGGAAAATTGCTGCTGCGTTACCTGGCATGGAAACGCTCTCTTCAACAAAACATGAAGATATGGTTGATGTGAACTTGAAGTCTTCTAGTGGCCCTAATTCTCAACCTGAGTCTGGTGGATGTGCTTGTTGAATGTGCCTTGCCTTGACGTTATGTATCTTGCTTTCTTCTTCTGGCTATATTCGTCTTAGAACGTGTTTGGCTAAGCTGTTCAGGTTTCATTTTCAAGACTTATACAGCATTATGTGAAATTCTTTTTTCAGAATATTAGTGGATAGGAAGCAGTGGAAGAATCAATAGAGTCTGTATGTTGGCTATTCATTATTGTAACGTACAACAATGGCTAACTCTATCACAAATTTACCTTTTTCAAGAGCTATTGAACTCTGCCGAGATTATATATCGCCTCCCCGTTTTAAGTTAAATTGCTTTCAAAGTTGTGGAGATTTCACTTGCGATATCATGTTATATATAGAGATTTCCATTTTGTTCGGAAAAATCAGTCAAACATACTAATTCAGCTTACTTGAATAAATAGTGTGTGAAATTATATTAGTTTCATTTTTATGGGTGTTTCTGACAAAATTCTGACAAACTCTGCATCATTAATAACTCAAATAAGCATGAAAAAAACCCAGTCATCTAGCTTGTAATAAGCATAAAAAAGAAATCCTCTGGTCTAGCATTTCTTATATGATTCTGAAGTTATAATGATAAGAAAATTTCAAACGCGGGAAAACCTAGGGTGGACTGTGAAGAACGAAGGATGAACAGAGATTTCCTAGTTTCCTGTGGACTTACATTGACGCAACGTCCCACGGGTTTAACGCCTCTTTCATTCTTGCTTACCTGTGCACACAAATAGGCCACAGAACATTTTGTTAATTCCACAATCCACTTGGTCCCTTTTGGGGTCTGCCTGTTCGAACTTGCATTTGCAGTCTCGTGCAGAGCACGCAAGACTTCAAGGCGAACTCCCTGATCTACTTGGCTGTTGTGGCAACATATATATATATACTGCCGCCAAATCGAGATGGCTGTTAGGCGGAAGCCTGCCCCCAAATCAACTTCACTGGCGCTGGACAAGATTATTAGATCCCGTAAGAATCTCTCCGAACCCCCACCAAGACTATGGCTAAACTGTGAAGACGAAGGCATGGACCTCGACGAACGAGGGTCACCCGTTTTGAAGCTAACACACCCCATTCTGTGTACTTTAGACTCATGCACTGGGATCAAAGAGTTTAACAAAGTTCACGCCCAACTCATGGTTTCTGGGCTATTTCAACACCCTTTAGCTGCTGGCAGGGCTATAAAGAGACTTTGCTCGGATTCACGTATTCCGCACGCCATCCACATATTTGATTATCTGGATGAACCGGATGCTTTTCAATGCAATACAATTATGAGAAGTTATACGAATATGAATGATTTTCGCAGTGCTCTGAGTTTCTATTACGAGAAAATGGTCACTAGATGGGTCAATCCGAATCATTATACTTTTCCCCTATTGATGAAAATTTGTGCAGAGGTAAGGTCTGTACGAGAAGGGGAAAAGAGTCACGCTAGGATTGTGAAATTCGGGTTCGAGTTAGATTTGTTTACTCGGAACTCACTAATTCATATGTACTCAGTTTGTGGAAGAATCGGGGATGCCCGGTTACTATTTGACTCGGGGTCTGTATTGGATTTGGTGAGTTACAATTCGATGATTGATGGGTATGTGAATAATAAGGACATTGGTGCAGCACGCAAGCTTTTTGATGAGATGTCTGAAAGAGATGTATTTAGCTGGAATTCTATGATTGCTGGGTACGTGGGGATTGGCGATTTAGAGGCTGCACAAGATTTGTTTGACAGAATGCCAAAAAAAGATGTGGTGTCCTGGAATTCTATGATTGACGGCTATGCAAAGACTGGAAACGTTTCTTTAGCTCGTGAGTTTTTTGATCGAATGCCCGTTAGGAACGTGGTCTCTTGGAATTCTATTATGGCACTTTACGTGCGATTTAAAAATTTCAGTGAATGTTTGAGACTGGCCGATAGAATGATGGAAAGAGGAGAAGCTTTGCCCAATGAGGCTACTCTGGTGAGTGTTCTCACGGCTTGTGCGAATTTAGGGAGGCTTGATACAGGTTTCTGGGTCCATTCTTATATCAAAAGTAAGGGCATTAAACCCGATGTCTTACTTTCGACCAGTCTTCTGACAATGTATGCAAAGTGTGGGGCTGTGGATATGGCTAAAGACGTGTTCGATGAGATGCCAATCAAAAGCGTTGTATCATGGAATTCCATGATCATCGGATATGGATTGCATGGCGATGGTGAGAAAGCTCTGGAATTGTTCATGGAGATGGAGAAGAAAGGTCCGCAGCCAAATGAAGCTACGTTTGTCTGTATCTTATCTGCATGTACTCACGCTGGTATGGTTATGGAAGGTTGGTGGTACTTTGATCTCATGCGTCGAGTTTACAAGATGGAACCCAATGTTGAACACTATGGCTGCATGGTTGATCTCCTTGCCCGAGCTGGTTTGATGAGAAATTCAGAGGAGCTTATAAGAAAGATACCTATCAAGAGTGAAGGTGGATCTGCCTTATGGGGAGCTTTACTTTCTGCTTGCAGGACCCACTTGGATTCAGAGCTTGGGAAGATTGTAGCCAAGAGACTTATTGAGTTGAAGCCGCAGGATATTGGTCCCTATATATTGCTATCAAATATATACGCTGCTGAAGGTAAATGGGATGATGTTGAACAAGTGAGGTTGGTGATAAAAGAAAAGGGATTACAGAAGCAATCAGCTTCCAGCTTGGTTCATCTTGAAGATTTTGAATCTAAAAATATATTGGGCAATAACTCGGTCTCTAGGAAAAGGATAGTGTACTCCATGTTGAATGAATTAGGTACTCAGATGAAGTTATCCCTTGGAGATTGGATTGAGAAATAGAATCTCAGACGGTCCGAATCAGACCTAGAAAAAGATCAAGTTTTCAAGGGGGATTTTATTGAGAGAGAAAAATTGCGCGTTAAAGAGTAGGATATTGAGGTTAAATACTTAGATTATGGCTATCATGAAACTGAAATTCATTATTGTGACAAGTGAAGCAGTTGAAGAACGATGTGCTTTCCAGAATGGAGATGATACGATGGTTAATTTCAATATTGTGTATATTATTGAAAAATTTATCTACTAAATGCAGCAGAGTCCAGACCGGTTCACCAAAAGATTTTGGATCCTGATTTTGCGGTGAAGGAAAAAGTTTAGTTGAAAAATGGTTATGGGTGAATGGGCTGCTCAAAAATCAGCTAACGATTCCATAGCAGGAAAGAAGTGATGGTTTAGCGGTGGTGGAATGAGGATGAGAATTGAAAGGAGTCAATGCATGAAAGATTTTCTTTGAGCCCTATTTTTCAAGTTGACATTTTATTGATAAGATTGTTGTGGGAGGACCTACCTACACTTCACTAGGGTTCCAGCCAAATTGTTAAAGCTTGTAGATGATAAGAAACTGAGAATAAAGAAATCCCATTGGCGCTATATTTTGGGACTAACTGTTGGTGTTCAAGTACATGGTTTACTTGCTACATCGTCATAGTTAGATGGAAAGAGAAAGATGGAAATGGGATCATGCAGAGAATTGTCAAAGACCATGTGTGCATCTATCCTTCCAATTCCAAATATCAAGACCATTAGAGCTTTATCAAAGTCACTCACCTCTAATTCTGTGAACACCACTTTAAGCCAACTTCTAGTCTTGTAACGTTATTCCTGTCCAGTCTAAAAGGAAAGGGTCTGCAATACGGCAGCGCCATTTTCCTTTCCCAACAGAAGAGTCAGATGCTGGAAGGTTTCAGCTGCGAAAGCGGGGGCAACTGGGAGAGGGACAACAACTTCTCTTCATGAAGGTTTCTCTTTGCTGTGATTTGAGTACAAATTCTCCATAAGAAGTGCTTGAGGGTTGAGTGTATTTTTTGATTTCTGGAGTGTATCTTTCAGGTTGCTCTCGCTGAAAAAATCTGTTCCAAAACTCATTTACTGCATGGTATCCTAACTTGAAAGAATGTGAGAAAAGCCACTATTTGTTTAAGAATATTTTTAGTTGTTATTTCTTTTCTATTTTTTACTGGCATAAAATAAAACTTAAGTTTCATGCTGTAGTAATTCTGTTTTTTCCGACTCTTATTGTTTGTCGATGCATTGGTTCACCATATTGTCTGCGGGAAACCCTTCCTTCCTTCCTTCTTTCTTTCTTTCTTTCTTTCTTTTTTTTGTACCCCCAAGTGCTACAGATCTTGATGCCGATACTTCTATTGGCAGAACAAGAACATTTTTTTTTTGTACCCCCAAGTGCTACAGATCTTGATGCCGATACTTCTATTGGCAGAACAAGAACAGCGGAACGAAGGAATGTAAGATATTGTAATAATAGTAATCGATATTTACTGTATTAGGTAGAGTAAGCCCGTTTGAAGATATAATTTTTGTTGGACTACTAAAGCACAGATAGCCCAATGCCTGTTTCTACGTACGAGTCCAAAATCTGCATTTAGGTATTAGACTGATTACATGGTTGATCTACAATTACAATCTACATTCTTCTCTTAATCAGCAATCTTGTGTTCTTTTACCACTTGTTTGGTTAAAGAGATTCAGAGTGAAAGAAAGGCGAGAGATTTTGCTACCCTCCTCTTATTTGGTTCCAAAAAAATGAAATAAAAATGGAAGGTATAGAGATAACCCTCCCATTGCTTGATGAATTTTTCCTCCTGTCCCCTCCAAAAGTGAGAGAATTTGAAGGGAAGGTTACAAATATATGTTAGAATGACTAAAACAACCTCATAAATTTTTGTTACTTCAACGTTGCCCATAAAACAATCTATATAAAGAAGGCACCAAATATTCTTACAAAATTACTATCACATAACTTCACAAAAAACTTTATGGGAATCACCTCTACCATAGCCACAGGGATTGACTATAAAACTCGTTGCTATTTTGATCCGAGTTCTTGCTATCAACAACATCTTTCATTCTAGTCAAATTCTATTGTTACCCTCTTTATATTCTGTTGTTACTTTTTTGCCCCCTTCAAGATTTCATGAGTATAATTTCTCAAAGCTTTTGCTGCATTACTTAGTATAGATATTCATATTACTTATATACTGTAATTGATTTATTCATTGGAATTACTATACAAATGAATCCACCATCCACCGATTGATTGACACAAACAATGGTAGATAATATATATACTCACTCACATATATGTTCATCTTTTTGTTAAACCTCTCCGCCTTGCTAAGCTAAGAAAGATGTGTAATGTCTGTCTTGACATTACTGAAACACTTGTCACTTCAAACAACCTATCATGGTAATTAAGAATTAATCAATCCCATGTGGATTACCATGATAAAAAGCGTTATGCAAATTTATAATTGAAAACAATTAAAATTGGGATCCTAGTAAACCCTTTCAAAATTTTGCTTGAATTCAAACAATAATTAAAAATAAGATAAAAATTGATTTCAAAGCATATTCAAACAAACAAACATGAGCAATTATTCAACAAGGCAAAAACATAATTTTGACCTAAACTAGTCCATTTGTTACTGCCAAAAGGCACATATGCCGCAGGTGGATGTCTTTGTGGTATGTGTCGTGGTATACAATGCAGTTTATGACAGCAAGTTTGTTGTTATGACAGCATTCAGAGATGAATTTTTAATGTGTGTCGTTTCTCCGTCCAATATACGATTAGGGTGATTCAAACACTCATACAAAACTTATTCAGTTATATAACTAATAGGACTTGTTTCACTCCAAAATGACATCTCATTTAGAAATTGAATGCCTTGATGTGAAATGGTCACTTTTTTCTAAAACAAAGAGCAATTTAGTGTCCCAAACCAAACCAAAAGTCATTAACCTCAACTGAGGCTTAAACCACATTCAATAAACCAACAAGCACTTGATAGAGTAGTTATGTAAGAAATAAGATAATTCATTCAATATTTGAGTAATCAGAACCCCCAATTTCAATCAAAATGGGGCCAAATGCCTTAATCATCAAGCATTAACTACAAATTAGCCGTTTCACAATATGAATAATCTAAGCATCATCTAATATGCATTTGTGTTAGTATTTTAACCCCACATCATTAATACATCTCAAAAACACATATTCAAGGCTAAAATACAACACACAATAACCATTCATATCATGCAAGTGCATTCAAAAATACTACGTGCAATCATAGTTGGCACTATAATCATAATATATATATATATATATATATATAGAACAAACAAATAGGACTACACAAGTAGTAATGTGACTACTCCTTTCCTTGGTCCCTCCCCCTTGCTTTTACTAGTACTATCACCTGTAAATAGTAACTATAGGGTGAGATATAATTTCATTAACTAAATAATTTAAACTATCTATCAACAACTCAAACTGTAAATAAGCAAGCAAAGTGAGAAACAATAAAACATGTGATCATGGCAAACAAAGTATGAATTAACTAATTAAATTATGCATGATCTTAGTTTTTCACTACAACCTTCGTAATGACCTCTGACAGAGTCCATAGGCTAAAAATATACTAGATTGAGTCTATATGAGTAGATTAGCCTAAGCTCACCTAATATGAAAGGCAGCCCTTAGGGAATACTCAAGGTGTCATATTGCTTTAGCCCACATCCTTTTTGGTAATAATAGAGCTACCAGAATAATAATTGAACATGGGGGCCACCTATGGTACCACTAGTATCATATAGATTTTAATTTACTTTCCTTAGTGTGAGCTTTCTTCCTTTCACACTAATCATGCTAAACAATGCATCAATGCAGCACTACTTACACATACCATTCACGATCACATAACACTTTATAGAAATCATTTCATAAACCATGTATACATGTAATATAATTATAGTCCTTCAAAAACCATCTTCGTACTTTCCAAAAATTTCCAAAACAATACATACATACATACATACATACATATATATATATATAGATATATATGTATAAATTAACACTTGTTTCGCAAAGACTTGTACACAACCTAATATGCAAGTAAACATGATAGATTGTCTAATTACCTTAATCTTTTTATTATCGAAAAGGGTTACCTGTGGATTTTAATGCTTCAATAGCCTCCTCTAGCTCAAATAGATTTCAAGCAACAACAATCTAAACATTTAAACATTAATCTATCATATCCAACTCTAACATAAGCAATTTTTAGCCCAATTTCGCTAACCCAAAGCCATAATTAATCTATCATAATTATCTTTAGCATAATTAAAATCTTAACAAATTTTTATTAACTCTATTTAACTTCTGTTAAGTTAAATAATACCAATTATGATTTTTCATAACTCCAAAACTCATATTTTAGGGCTAGGGTTCATCCAACCCTAAAGCCCCAATATCAAAACTCTATAAAACCATAAGTCTTAAGTATAAAAACTTAAATCAACTCCCAATGACTTCACTTAAGCAATTGGGTTCAAACCTAATGTAATGTTTGCTTTGACATAACTAATTAATCACCACAATTCAATACATAAAGGTGATTAGGAGTTATTAAACCTTAAGCTTACCAAAATCAAGAAGGGTTAAAATATAGAAAATAGATTTTTGAAAACCTTTGAAAACATTTAGGATCCCAAAAGCCCTTCTTGAAAATATATATATATATATATATATATGAAATTATATGTACACAAGCACAATGAATGCAAGAAAGAACATAGATTCACAAAACACAAGAAAACTAGGGCAAAAAAGTCATTCTCACCCAAAATGGCACATATATCATGACTTGTATGCTATTGTCACATATAATGTCCGATTGGAATCATTTAAGCGGCCTCACGTAGCTTATTCACAAACTAACTAATAACACAAGTTTTACCTCAATGCAATATTTTATTTAAAAATTAGGCACTGAAATGTAAAATGACAATTTTATATCATTTTCCAACAACTAAGTATTCCATTTGCCAAACTTGTATTATACACCCAATTAAATAATTATATCCATAATCATATACAATATCTCCCTTACTAAATACAATTAATTACACAAACTAACATAATCATAGGTTAAGCTCCTTTTTAGATTATCAAGTTTGAATTTTATAAAAATGGAATCCCAAGTTTTCATAAATCAATTTCACTAAAACATCACTTAATAAACATCAAATTAGAGTAAAATAATATATCAAAAGCATGGGATGTAAAATCTTTGAGTTATACAAGTAAAGTTACCCTTACTAATCCATCTTAATCTCCAATAATTAAGGTAATTACCAAATTCATCAAATTTTATGAATGGGAATTCTAAGATTCAAAATTCAAAACATCCACTAAACCTTTACTAATTAAAATCAAAGTATGCAGAAGCATGGGATCGCTTGCAAGTTAAAACATTTGCATAAAATATGAAAACAAAAAAAAACTATGCAAAAAAGCAGACACATGTTGCGGCTTATAATACATGCGCTATGACTTAGGGGCCATACACTGCAACACATTGCACATACTTAACAGCAATACTGTTGTCATTTGATAGCACTAAGGGCAAACTTTTTATGTACCTTATTTTTCTTCCGAATGAGGTTATCTAGGTTTTCACAAAGAGCTTTCTCTCAGCTCTAAATAATGGCATTGATTTTATAGTCATAGCATTTTTCAATAAAAATTTGGACACCCATTTAAAAAACTCACTCATTTACAATCTTGACAAACAATTTAGGTGCCCAAATCACATGACAAGTGCCAAAAGCCAAATTCACACCCTAAACCATACTCAAAAGACTAACACGGACTTATGCGATACACACATCACAGACATAACTCATAAAATACATTTTCAACACTCAACTCCTTAATTACAAAAATAGAAGGGGAAGCCTTAAATGCATAATTCATCATGTCAATCCACAATAATCATAATCTCATTAATTTTCTACTTGCATTAGTATTTTGGCTCTATAATAATTTCTCAATCAGTATATATGCATCCTAGGGCCTAAAATACACAACATAGTTTAACAATCTCCTAGTACAAGTTAGCCCAAAAATATAGAGAACTCAAGTTGGCAATATCATTTAAGTTATACATATAACAATAATCAAAATAAATAAAGCCTACTAATTATTAAGATTAAAGTCCTAAGCTTCAGTCTGTTTTCCT